TTTTATTTCTTGTAGATCAGCGATACAGCAAACAGTGCAAAGACTGAACATACAGCCATGAAAGGAACTTCAATGAAAAACAAACCAGACTTTAAAGCGTCAACAGACTCTAATGCCATTTTACATTCATCTTTGCCATCTAATGCTTCTAATCATAATAGTTGTGTGGTGGATATGCTAAGGAAAAATGAAGGTATAAGGATGGCATTTTCAATAAAACTAAAGCTTTTTGTAAAATTGGTAGGGAATTTTAGAGTCATTGAAAAAGTAAATGTTACACAGTTGGGTTTTTGTTTGTTTTTGTGACAGAGTCTTGCTCTGTCACCCAGGCTGGAGTGCAGTGGCATGATCATAGCTTACTGTAACCTTGAGCTCCTGGGCTCAAGCAATCCTCCTGCCTCAGCCTCCCAAGTAGCTAGGACTACTGGTGCATGCCACTACACCTGGCTAATTTTTTAGTTTTTATAGAGATGGGGATCTTGCTATGCTGCCCAGGTTGGTCTAGAACTCCTGACCTCAAGCATTCCTCCTACCTCAGCCTCCCAAAGTGCTGGATTACAGGCATGAGCCACTGTGCCTGACCGTTACACAATTTTGATCCATTTTCTTAATAATAAATTACCTACCATATTGAACCTAGTTAGAATGATGTCAAAATACCAAGTAAACACTTACCTGAATAGTAATTGGTTATGACCTACAGAATTTAGGTGAGGCAAGTTCTTATATGACATTTGAGATTCGACAGTACGTTCAATGTCACTATTCCATTACACTGTTTTATTTCTTAGCACTTAACATTATCTGAAACTATTTATTATGAACAGGGATTTTTCTATCTTGTTCATCTGTATTTCCCTAGCACCCAGATCCGTGCCTAGTAATACTAGTCATTTAGTAAATATTTGTTTAGCAGAGTCAGGAACAAAGGTTCAATGTTTACAATGAAAGAGAGAGCTGAGAAATTGGATATATTAATACATTATGGATATAATGTACTTTATTTTTCTAAATATTTTACACCTAATGGTTAATTCATACACACGAGCACCACAATGCCATTTGTGGTGCTCATGTATGATTTTAAAACTGAAAGTACCAAGAATTTTATGACAGAACTATATGATACAACCATTATCTGCAGGTATTAGATTAATAATAATATAGTATAATAACTTGATGTTTTTCTTTTTCTTTTAGGTCCTCACACTTCAGCAAATGTAGGTGTTCTAAGTAGTTGCCTGGACGTAAGAACAGTAATCCCTGAAACTTCTGCATCCAGTACTGTTTCCGGCGCACAAACTATGGTAACCCAGCAGGCCATTAAAACTGAATCATCCAGTACAAATGGGGCTGTTGTTAAAGATGAAACTTCACTAACAACATTCAGTACCAAATCTGAAGGTTTGAAATGTGTTTCACATACTGTATTTTGAACCATTTTTGTATATAAATTCATCAAACTTATTTGCCTTATATGGAAATTGTATTTCATTTTGGATTGATTCATGTATAAGCAGATAAAGAATTTCATTAAAACCATATTAGAAAATATTCTCTGCTGCCTTACATAAAATATTTAGATGAGCACACACTATTGAAATATAATCAGAATGTATCTTCCCTACCATGAATAAATGTAGCAAAGTTTTCTTTAAGACAAGATTAGTTCTAGACTGTGGATTAACAATTTTCCAGCCTAATTTATTTCTAACTTTGTAAATTCTTATTCTTTAGCAGTAGGAATTGTGTTTCATCTTTGGTAAACATTCTTTGAAGTTTTAGCTAGTCATCAAACTTGAGTTAAAGGTCCATATCACTAATTTTTGTGAATAATAATATAATACCCTCTGGCTATTTTTTTATTGTGGAAAATACACATAAAATTTACTGTTTAACCATTTTTAAATGTACAATTTGGTGGTATTAAGTATTTG